CGGTGATATAAAATTAACTTCTTTACAATGAAGTTATGCCAATTCACCCTGCATTCTTTTGGTAGGGCGTTTTCAACTATTTGCATTAGAAACACAATTGGGAATGATGTTTTCTTGCAGGTGATGAACTGAATGGTGGAAGAAATATTGCGGCGGCTCCGTTTCCAATTATCCGTCGCATACGTACTGAAGAGTCTTCCTATGCCAGCTTATTTGACATCGGGAACCTTTCTTCCCGAAGTGGAATAAAAGTAGAACGTGCATAGTACACACTTTATGAATGATAAGTGGGAATGGGAGAATAATTGCAACCTCTTCTCGACGACGTTTGTATCTCAACGACAAAAATTTGCCGAACTAAGAAATAGGCTCATAAGTTCACTTTGTTCATTAGTTGGCGCACGGAACGAGGAGGGATCAGTTCTAATGTCGTCCGTTACATGGCGGGAAGGAGTAGGTTGGTTCAATCCTCATCACGTTCGATATGCTGTATGTATCATATCAGTTCCAATGTCGTTCTGTAGATGGCGCCAGGGAAAAACCGTTAAAAATTTTGTTTCAAATTATTACATTCACCATCCTTTCTTTCACTGACTGGTCCCCATCCCTATCCCTTAGTTTCGGATTCCGATTCTGGTTCGAAGAGCTTGCTTGTCGTCCACCTCCAGCATAGAGGAGTTTTTTCTTAAAATACATATGCAGGATTAAGTGCTCATCCGATATTTAAATCCGATGTATCATTTATTATGATACCTTGAGATAAAAACAGACCCGACTGCTTGGTGAAATCGTCCAGAGTCTCTTGCCCATCGACGAACAGTCTTCAACTTTCATTAAAAGAGGGATCCTTCGGACAGAAAGGAAGAAATGAGGCTCACCTTTCCCAGCATCAACTTTTGTGTCGAGAGGAGATCAGGAGCCATCCAGAGTGAGCTCCATGTCCGTGTCCTGCCGAGGATGAAGGAAACCGTGTCACGCCGACACCTACATCTCCCAATATCGACGTGAATATGTCAAACGTGGAAGCGTGGCGAGTTGCTTCTTTGCAGATATCGGATAACCCCGAAATTTCTCGGAAAAAATGACCGAACAAAGGAATCATGCAAGAGCTCTTTGAATCCAAGACCTTCTCCATAGCCTCCGCGTTCGTCATCCCCCCACCCAATCTTCGACATTCCCATATCGGGATTATCCAAACGAAATGGAACCTTGCAGAGGGCCCTGATGACTCACACCTTACACTTTATTTTGCACCAACAATCCTAGTTCCTTCTGTGACGTTATTCCACCTTCATAAGACTTTTTGCTTTTCGTTCCAATGGAAAACTTCCAGCCCTTTTTTGAGGGTGCTGGAATTGCTTCAATTTGGAATCATGACACCGACTGAGGTTGAAGAAATAGTAGACACAATTGGAACTTATTCATTATTATGAAGTCTCAGCCTACGACGTGTCGCAAAAGATTCATTCGGTAGAACAAACCCTGTCGTCGACGATCAAGAATGCATTTAATGTCATTCTTATCCCATTCTCAATGTAAACGTCTGCTCGAACGCTCTTTTGGCATATTGGACGAGAAAGATACGAAATAATGTTTTCCTAATTCCAAAAGAAATACAGTAAATAGGTGGTGTCGGTTCTACTACCACGAAGCACGTCTCATGGAAGTGTTGTTGATAACAAACCACCTGCACCTGTCGATCGCCAACCCTACCCCTCGGAGTGTCGCCTTTTAGCTATACTCTCTACTCTGAATATTGAATTACCCACCAGACTCTCCACCAGACTATTCCAGCCAATGCAAGAGAGTACCTTTCAATCCTACAAATTTACTACATTATGGCATCTAACCCAAGCCACGGGAGCAGGTTTCTACTGTACTTACTGAATGCAATTTAAGTGATGAAAAGAACGTATTGAAAACATTACCCAAGCAGCATGTTCACGAAAACAAGATATCACTTTTTTGCAAACAATGTAAATTTCTTGCGATTGCCATGAAAATGACCACGTTTACGTAAAATTGACGTTCCTATATTTACGTCACCAAAGTGTACCTGAATTTTACATGAACTAGACGTTACTCCATCTGACGTACATGATATCAAGTTTATGAAAAATTAAATCCCAGCCCTACAAGTACTATATCTTCTCTATCCTAAAAGGAAGAGAGCTCCTTTGAACATCTACTTCTCCTCCCGAGCTTCCGGTACGGGAGGAGAAAGCAGTAGGTCTCTTTGGTACTCTTAGAGTGCTGGTGAGGATGTGTACTCGTCCAACCACCCTAGAGTTCTGAAGAGCGTAAAGGAATAGGAGATTCAGTATGTAAATTCTCTTCAATGGTAATGGTTCACTCTTTAAATACGCATGAATGCCAGAGGAAAATTAGCACAAATCTTACGGAAAATGAATGTAAACATGGTGTTTGGAATGCCAACGGGAATCCCAATTTTACGTAAAATTGACGTTAATTTTATATCACCGTTTACATATCACAGAGGTGACATTTCTGCAAACATGTTGACATTTTCTTGACAATGGTTAGCGTAAAAATGATATAAAATGGACAAAAAATTACATTCATTTTACGTAAAATTAACATAAACATGCTGTTTGGGTAATTGCATATCGAATAAATCCTTTAAGAAAAATATAGTTTTATTGAACCTTTTTCCCTGGAAATATCAAATTCACGAAGTTCGGGGAACGCATAATTTGAACCGTTTTTCATTAGCTTTGAATTTTGAACATTTAAGCAGTCAATAGAACGTTCCCAAGGACGTTAATGGAACACTAGCAAGAACTTGAAAGAAGCGTTCATTGAACACATTTGGGTGCTACTGAGGTCTTTGAAAGGTATGCTGCTTCCTTCCACGCCAACAGAGGATTTCTTCTGGTTTTCAGCAGGTTTACCTACCACTAGTATAGGTTTTTTTGGTCAAATGTGGTAATAAGAAAGTCAAATGCGACAAATGCGTCGCTGTGGTGGATGTAGGATTTTAGGGAAAAGGATGTTCGACAAAGGGAAGTCAAATGCTACAGCTTGCTGCTGAAACTCTCAGTTATCAGTCACCGAAAAGTACTTAGGCTCATCAATGTCCTAATGAGCAACCGCAAACTCCGCGTCTACCTCGGCAAGATGAGCCAAACTTGCGCTCTCAACAACGGGCGACCGCAGGGCTCGGTGCTTACACCGGCTCTATTTAATACATCGAACATGCCCCTCACGAAATCTCGCAAATTCACTCGCGCGGATGACATAGCGCTGACGGCACAAACACTAACATTGGCTGAAGCAAACCGTACATTGACAAGCAACCTTGAGCTTCTCGAAAAGCTACATTCGAAACTGACGCCTCCGCCCAAAACCCAGGAAAGACAGCTGTGTCCGCGTTCCATCTGAACAACAGCGCTGCGGCTCAGCAACAGAACGGAACCTGCAGACGGTGTACCATAATTGTTATTGACAGGAAAGTTACATTCTTTTACATTCAATAATGGCAGGTAATGCAAGAAAGTCAGTGCAATTGGTAGTAAACTAAGAAGCAATTTTCTCCCGTCCCATGCCAAAAGAACGAGTGTGCAAAGAAACGCGCCTGACGTCAAAAAAAGAAATGTTTGATGGATCCTTGACATGTGTGTCCACCGACGATCGCCCCGCCGAGGCAGAACGCCTGCAAATGCACTGACACTTCCTCATTAGGTGACTCGCACGGAAACAGTTTACTCAGGCTCAGAGCAGAGAATTTCATCGAAACTCTCCTGGAACCACCTACATATATTGGGTATGACAAACTGCAAATTTCAAGGCGGTGCTTTGCATGGTGTCCCATTTGTAGACGCAGGACGTTCGGGTAGCATTTTTTGTGTCGCAAGGTACATAGACGACTACAGAAAACCTCGTTAATTCGAAATATCCGGTTTGGCCATGATTATTTTGTAATATTGTACTAAATCCGCGTGTTTTGCGCCGCGTATTCTCCTTTGTAGGTTTCAAGGCCATCTGCCAGCTTTTCAATTGTGCCACGATTTTTAAGGAATGTGGATACAATGAAAAGCGGTATATCGAATTCTTTTGCAATATCGGTCTTCGATTTTTCTTTCTTGTCCACTTCACAACTTAACATAACAAATTAACTTCAAACTTCTGTGAATTAATTCGTTGTACTTGTTGTATTCGTTCTCTTGTTCGCCATGGCACATTCACCCCCGTTTCACTCAACACAGAGAGACTGCTGCCACACTGATCAGTTTTTTGACTGAAGGTTGTACTGAAGGTGTGAATTAGATAGGTAACGGTAGAGGGGTTATTTAGTGAAAGGGGGCAGTAGTCTACATTTAGAATTATTCTGAATAGAAAAATAATGTTTCCATGGCAATTAGCTGGCTTTGCGACCATTTAGATTGCGAAGATTGAGACTGGTCGTAGGGAAAAGAGCCCTTCGAAGTAAACGAACGCATTTCTGAGTTTATAGCCCATTGTTCCAGAAAATACCTTCGAAATTCATAGTATCCGTATTTCGAATTATTCATTCTATTAAGCATACAAATCGCTATCCTCTCGGACGGGGAACGTAATGACTTCGAAGTATCCAATACTTCGAACTATCCGATATGGAATTAACGAGGTTTTCCTGTATCGAGTTTGACTCCCCTACGTGCAAACTTAATGAAATGCATGACATTTTGTTCATCTCATTTATATAGGTACATGGGATTTTTTGCTAAATGTCTGGAAACCATGGACTTCCAAGTGAGACCTTCATAATCGAAACGAATACACTCTCTGCACATGAAATCCAATGTACAGTATTTCTCCAAACAAAAGTGCCTATATGAGGAAGTGTTACCATGGGACGGGATTTGCTTTGTTGTATTCTGAAGTCAAGGATATGCAATCACCTCTTCTTCGATTGAAGACCACCGAAGAAACCTCGTCACAATAATTTGTATCGATGAGATGAAAGTTTGCATAGTTTGTATTCTTATTTATCAATACCGAGCCATCTTTCATCCATGAAATTTCTGCAAATATCATCAAATACTCTGGGTATCGACAAATTTAAAATTGCAAATTGAAATATTCAGTTGACATCGGTAACAAAGGCAACCAGCACCCATTTCCCGTCCTGGTCTTCATCAGGAATGAATTCAAAATTTGAGCTTCCCTTCAGGATTCAACTACGTACAAAGGATAGTAATCCTGATCATGATACTTGACAATAATGCGACCGCTACTGTCAGTAGTGGAATGAAATCCTGCTGGAGGATGAGTCATGAACTGGTTGCCAACAGTGGAATTTCCCACTAGAACCTTGACGACAAAAATGCAACCTCCTCCTCTGCAGTAACCGGCTGCAGTTTGAGGATTCGAAGTGAAATAGACCCCCTTGCCAAATGCCGATCCATTGGCACTTCCATGTAGTCTCCAATCAAAGTTCCGCAGACAGATGGAAATAATATTGATGGATGATGTTCCATGGAAGAGATCCATCTCGTTCACTGCTGTGGGTTGTTCTCTCAATAATTGCGACTTCTTGTTTTGGTACATCTCCCACAAATACGGATTCTGGACCCTTGTGATTTGTCGAATGTTAAAACAAGTTATGAGGGATGCAATTTTTCGGTATTCCTGAGAATTGGAATCGATGGCAACCATCCTGCAAGTCTCTGTATCACTCATTGGGATCCAATGGGATGGGAACTGCTTATACATGGGAGCATCAATGGGAGCAGGTGATGATTTCGGGGGAGCAGGGCGACGTCGGACCTTCCTCTCACTACCAGTCTGTGAAGTAATGGAGAGGTAGATGATAGGAGAATGACATATTATATAACATGAGAACATATTCCATTAAATGGTCAGATAATTCATAAAGAAACCATCCTCTCCAAAACGAAAAAAGAAAGCTAAAATGATATCCATACCTCCATCAGTCAAACATGTTATATTCAAAATCAATGCCACTGCAACACTGAAAGACAGAAACAATACAGTATAGATTCTTCAATTGTTTTTTCCATGGAAAAATTAACTATTTATTTGGTGGAGTATGTAGTAATGTTAAAACCAATTTGCAAAGGTTTTCCCTTTCTTCAACCCCAACCCCAACCTCAACCTCACCCTCCCCCCCACCCCCACCTTTCCCCCCTTCTCTACGGAACTCATTAGCGTTACGCCTAGACCTAACCAAATGACTGTCTTCGGGTCAGGCCTAGGCTTATAACATTTTCTCGTCCAAAAGAAACTCAATCCTCGACCCACGGACCAATTTTTATAATTTGTATATACCTTGCCTTCGAGACACCTCATTGCGGAAGTACAACGTTAGGCCAATCGCAGATCTATTCAGTCTTTCCTGGTCCATTTAACAGAGAACATGTAATATTAGACCGGATGTAGGTCTTTTTCGAGTTTCATGAACCACTTCAAGGCGGTCGGGGAAAATCAGGCATATCCAGAGTTCCTCAAACCGTCTCACATGTCAATTTAGTGATGTCCGGATGAGATGTCTCGGTATTCCACCAAATCCATCGGCCACAGCAAACAACCGTTTCAATCTCAGCTCATCCCATGAATTCAGCACAATAATGTTTCTCACATTAAAAAGATCCAGACAACGATAGTAAGGCCGAAGACGACATGAATCTGACATAACTCCAACAAGATATCCGGCAACACTGGGGGACGGGATCGGAGCTAATGCTCTAAGCCTAAATTAATGACAGGTAATTTCATTCTTTTAACTACGAAATTATGCAGTGCAAGCAGCAAAACTTTCACTTTTCGTCATCTACAAGTCATTACTTTTCTCATGGTTGGTATCTTTTCTCCGAAAGCATCCCAGGAGTTGCTACCCAGGGGGAGGGGAAAAAAACGGAATGAAATTCTAATCTTCAAAAAATGAGAATCAGTAATCCCCACAACCCCCCGGGGAGATAGAGCTTCAAATTTGCAGGACCGATTCTGTGTTTGTGAGGAAAAAGCAGGTCAAATTTCGTTCATGTTGGTACTCTCAGAGAGGAATACGAAGAGGCTCAATTTTGCTGTGGAAAGGGACTGAAGAAAGGTAATATAAGCGCTATCGCGCCTATTGATCAACTGGAGATCATGAACACCAATTGTAAAGAAAATTAGTCCTAAGGACTAATTTTCTCTCATTCCCATTCAGCTTACATTAAGTTTAAGGTGGACTGGATGTTCTACATTCACAGCGGGAAAGTATCTCCTCCTCACTGCCAGCACGAACCCCTTAATGTTTCCTTAACGCAACTTCTCATTAAGTCTTCAAAGCCTTTTCTCCAGGCAACGAATATTTCCTTGAATTTTGGAGATGTGCAAGCCATATGCATGTGTTAACTTTGCAAGTGTTGTGAAACAACTCAGGTGGAAGCACAGCTAAGAAGATAAAAGTTGTCATTTTACCTTACTCTCTATATGTACAGTACTAGTAAATGAAAAAATGAATCATTCAATCCTGACCTGTATATTCCTCTGTGTCATTTTATCGAAGTCGATCAAATATGGAAATTCATTCGTCCAGAACGTCATGTAACCTTTTCCTTGACCTTCGCAGAATTTTCTCTCTATGTCGGTTGAGTTCACGGTAATGGAGTTACGCTGTGCAGTCATAGAGCCATACGACATCCACTTCTCCGACAAGCCCAGGAAGTACCAGATCCAACTGAAATATTTAAGAGGAAAGTAAGTCAGAGCCCTCAGAAAAGAAAAGAACATGAAAAGGAAAAAAAAAGACATTAAAGGGTACTGCCATTACTTGATATTAAATGGTATTAAAGGTACTGCATTCAATCTTTCAAAAGTGAAATGAAGTAGTTGTCATCTTGATCAGGTCAGTGATGAGTGTGAAGGACAAAACTGAGTTAATGACCAGGTTGGCTTTGAACAGCCGCAGCTCAGCCAATAGGAGGCCAGATGACACGGGGCTAGCACCAATCGAAAGCCAGGAAGAAGGAGTATGATTTACTGAAATTTAAGTTAAATTGAACACGTCATACTCGAGTTATGAGTCATAAACTGGAACTTTGTCAAATATTGACACAGTTTTGTCCCTCACTATATTTTACTTCCATATGCTTCCACAATTTAACGAATATTTGATTGTTTTCCTCGAAATCTACTTTGCGATTTATCACACCACATCTTCCGGAACCCCTCTTGTAAAACCGTTGTAATTCATACCCATCAATTTCGTCGCGACAGAACGACCAAAAAATTTTTCTTAAACTTAATTCTCGGTCTTCACCTTCTTTAGTGACTGTAATTCACTGTCCATACTTTGGATGTCACTCAGGCGTTGCAACGAAAACGCCGCCGTCCAGATTGGAAGGATTCCTCCATATAAAAGCATGGGCCCCGTGTTAAAGGTGGTACGAATTCATTTGCAAAACACTTGGCTGTTCAACCTACGAGGTCTTCATCACGGTCAACCTTGAATTCTTATAGTTCCTGCGCAATGTTTTTTCTCCTTCCTCCCAAGTTTCGTTATTATACCCTTCCATCCGAAAACTATTCATCCTACATTATACTTTCAACTATGGTACTGCATGACAGTTCCTTGTGTCGATTCATGGGGTGTTTCTGACACCCAACATTCCTACCACTCTAAGAGTATATTAAACTGAATTTCACTTCATCTTGTTCGAAACTCAGTGGATTTTGCTTCTTATTCCAATATAGGAATTCCCACTCAAATTGGGCGCAATTTCTACGAGGACCCATCAAAAAGTTCGAGGACTACCTTATGAACGTGAAAACTAGGTACAAAAATTAGGTTTCAGTATGCTCCCCTTGGATGGGCTTTCAGCATTCAAAGGAAGGCATTCATCATGAAACTTACACAGTTGAGTGCTCCGTTCCACCAGTCATGAGAGACGATTCCGTGCTGAGCCTCCGGATGTCTTTTATTTCCTGTGTACATTCTACATTCTTCAGCTTCATCCTTGTGAAGTTCACTTCATAGCAGCTCTTCTTGAATATACTTTTGAGTTGTCTGCGCTTCGTCAAATGTACTTCTTCAGAAGGAAATGGTCCCAGCTGGACTTCATCCTTACTTGGATCAGCAAAATGCTTCTCCAGCTCAAAGGACTGGATTTTGCTTAAGTTGATCCACTTGCCTGTCTCCGGATGCCTAACTTGCCAATGGTAAGACGTGGTAGCGTGTAAACGTTGGCAGCGTCCTTCTTCGCCATCAACACATCGATCGTTAAGGAGGAAGGGGCAAATCTGGGGGACTTCCACCTCCCCATCGTCTTCATCAGCGTGAAAAACCTTCCTCTCTAATGCTTTTTCCTCATTGAGCTCTCTCTCGCGCTGGACGCTCTCCACGTACTTCATTATATTGATATCATAAAGTTCATTTACTTTCATGTACTCCATTCTCAAGTAGTTCTTGAGTATTTGAAGGGTCCACGTTATCTTTGAGTTATCTAACACGAGTCTTGTATTCTTCAGCAAGCGTTTTGCATGTGGCCCCAAAACATGATGGTTCAGCATACAAGTATGGTTGCAAGTTCCCATGACATCCTTCAGACAAAGATGGAATCGTGCACATGTTTCTCTATACTTACATTCCCCGAGGTTGTAGTAATGGCAGATTCTTGGAATTGGAACGAATGTATTTTCTATCACTTTTATTGTGTCCTGAAATGAAAGGATTGTGTATCAATTGTCACATGGTCGCACAATACTCTTTGAATTTATGTGAACAGAACCGAATCATTCGAAAATATTATGTCATGCGCGGACGAGGAGGAAGAAAAAAATGTACGATGGTGATCAAAAAGTTTTAGGAAATGACATGTTTTGCCGACTAGGGTTTTGGAGTTCCTTCAAAAGAGTCCCCTCTGGAAGCACTTCATGAATCCCGAACTGGAATGGCTTGAAGTTCACGCGTCGCATTTGTTTCGATAGTCAGGATGTCCTCAAATCCTCGCCCTTTCAAATGTACTTTCTGATTATGGAATAGGAAAGAATCTCACCAAGTCAGAGTTGCCGAATAAAGCAGGGGTTCAAACTATGGCTCTGTGTGTGTGAACTTCCATTTGAATGGCCGACGATTTGAGAACATCCAGACTATCCAAACAAATGCGACGCAGGAACTTCTAGCCTTTCCAATAGAGCAGTGGTTCTCAACCGGTGAGCTGTGGAGGCGCTGAGGGTGGGCCGTGACAAGTATCCGTGAATACAAAAATAGGAATTAACTGTTAGACGAACAATAATTAAATAACTTTTAAGCCTGTAGTTGACCGCGGATCACTTTGTATTTGTTAAGGTGGGCTGCAGGATCGAAAAGGTTGAGAACCACTGCAATAGAGGACCTTATGGGGTGCTTCCAGAAGCTACAGGACCGCTGGCAGAGTTGTGCGGACTCCAAAGGAGACTCTTCAGGAGGTGACCCCAGGAACTAACTCCAAGAGCCCAGCGAACAAATAATAGTAAGCATGTCCCAAAACTTTTGCATTAAACCTCTTCAGTGATAACGACGTTCCTCTGAAATGCCTGTGGCATCAGATTGTAATTTATTGTAAAAACTTTCAGTCAACTTGTTTCAGTCTCTTTAGCTGAAACATGAACGACGGGCTCATGTGGATATATTGGGTTGGTGCATAATTTCGTAGCGTTTTTTTTATCAGCTTAAAAATTTATTTTTTTGCACAAAAGAAATGAAAGAACTAATCAATGATGTATTCTCCTGCATTGTTTCCGACTGCTTCCCAACGCTCTGGCAGTTCTTCGATTCCACGCTTGAAAAAATCCGGTGATCGGTTGTCGAAAAACTCGTCAAGCCAATTTTGAAGAGCAGCTTCGTTCATAAATGAGGTTCTGAAGGTTCATAAATGAGGATTGTTGGAGAGAGATCGGAAAAGGTGGTAGTCCGACGGAGCCAGGTCGGGAGAGTAGGGCGGGTGTGGAAGAACCTCCCAGCCGAGCTCTTGAATAGCTGCCTTTGTCATGCTTGCAGTGTGTGGGCGGGCGTTGTCGTGCTGCAGAATCACTTGATGTTTTCTTCCCGATCGTTTTTCTTGAATTGCGGCATTAAGTCGACGAAGTTGTTGACGATAAACCTCAGCAGTGATGGTCACATTCCTTGGAAGCAATTCGTAGTGTATGACGCCCTCTTGGTCCCACCAGATGCACAACAATACCTTGCATGGATGAAGATCACCTTTCTCACGGGGTTTTGCTTGCTTGCCAGGGCTCAGCCATTCCTTTCTTTGCTTGATATTGACATACAGACACTACTTTTCGTCACCAGTGACAATGCTTGACAAAAACGATTGATGCTGTCGACGAGCTAAACGAAGACGGGCGAGCAAAGAAGCACAAGTGACAACACGCTGATTTTTGTTGCTTTCCGTCAAAATGTGGGGAACCCATGCGCCCATTTTTTAACTTTTCCAATAGACTGTAGATGTCGTACAATTGTTGAATGGTCGCAGCCCATCACATTGGCCAATTCTCTAGTTGATTGACGCGGATCATCGTGGATCAAAGCGTTTAAACGGTCCTCGTCAGTCACATGTTCGTCCTGAGCGCGGGGCAACCTTTATGTCAAAATTTCCTTCCCTAAAACGGGAAAACTTGCCGTGCTTTCGCCAATTGCTTGCTCCCCGTATACGCTACAAATGTTTCTAGCCGCCTCCGCTGCACTGACCCCCGATTAAACTCAAACAAAAGCACATGTCGGAAATGTTCTTTTTTTTCCACTTGACATTCCATAATTTTTAACCTGTAACTAAAAAAAAATATTCATATCAAAAAATTAAAAAATGATCTGAAAGAGCAAGACTAGGGCTTTAAAATGATGTATAAAAGATTATGAAATTTCTGTTTTTCTTGGACAAACTTCCATTAGAAAGAAAACGCTACGAAATTATGCACCAACCCAATATATAGTCGTCCCTGAGTCAAGCTAGGACAATAACGTCTAGCAAATATTGATGTTTTCAAATAAAAAAAAATTTAAAACTTGAAATTTGAACAAGGCTACTTTTCAACACCAGTAGGGAATTACAAAGCTCTTCAGCCAAGACTCTCAGTTATACCCAGTCTCTAATGCACGTGGGTCGTAACTGATGCAAAGTATTTTACGTGGGATGTGACCGACTTACAAGAGGAGAATCATGGATTTTGTTGGGAAGTCTCTTATTAACCTCTTTCTTCTCTCGTACTACTTCTTCGGAGCGCTCTTTTCTTCTCAATTTTATTCGCCGGTTTCGGAACCACACCTACGGAGAAAGAAAAGAGTTGAGTCAAAAGAATTTGAAGATGAGACGTATATACATAATGACCTACAGATGTCTGTTTCACCAGATATTGTCCGATGAACTCCTCCTAGGTTTTTCAACCGATTTTCCTTAAATATAGGTCATTCGTTTTCTAATTTTTTTTGTAAATGTATACAATTACATAAGATTTCTTTTCCGAGTTGACCCTTGAACCTGACCCGGATGACCATTCATATTAATTCTGGACCCAAATTTCAGTTTGATATCATTCGAAAGCCCTCGACCTCCTTTGTTTGAATTCGTCTTGACATTGCAAAAAATTATCATACAGTGTTGATTTTCTTTCTTTACATTGTTTTGTGTGTTAGTGAGTAAAAAATGTAATAAGTACTGGTGAAAGGCAGAAACAACGGAAGAAAAGATGAAACAGGGAGAGAATAATGATACCTGTACAGTATGAGAACATGATCAGTCATCGAATCAGTTCAAACTTCGCCTCAGACACTCCAAAAGTAGCACGGTGATAGCACGTACAGTAAGTCCTCGCTTTGCGTCGCTTCAATTTACGTCGTTTCGTTACTGCGTCGTCAATTACTTGTGGTAAGTTTTCGTTTTGCGTCGTTTAATGTTTCGCTTTTACGTCGTCGAGAGTGGACTACTTGGCGCGGCGGAGTGACAGAAGCAACCGACACTGTTCCTGTGGATGCAGCATAGTTGTTTACGTTGGTTACACGTGTGCGTACATGGCCATTTATTTTGTGCTTTTTGTGTTGTATTACATATCACCTTGAGTAGAAAGCGCCATTATGTTGAGAGTAATATGCCTTCTGCTATGTGTTGAAGAGATTTGAGAAGGGTGAACGTGCAGTAGACATTGGTCTCGCCATGGGACTTGCGCCTACCACCGTAAGGAACAATTCGGAAGTATTCGGACATGATCCGTGCCAGTTGCGAGTCCGTAACTCCTATGGGTGCCTGCACACCGGATCAGTCTAGTCTAGTCCAGTCAAGTCTAGTCACGAGTAGGCAAGTCAAAACGTTTAGAACCCCATAGCTCAACATGGAATGACTGATACCGCCTTCACACCGAATCAGTCTAGTCTAGTCTAGTCCAGTCAAGCTGGGCGAGTCGTAGCGTGCATGCACACCAATCAGTCTTCTTCAGTCTAGTCTAGTCAAGTCATCTTTAGTCTAGTCAAAACTTTTACAGCTCCATTGCTAAACATGCTCTTTCTGATATCCACTTCACACCGCATCAGTCAAGTCTAGTCTAGTCCTCGTCAGTCACGTTTAGTCAAGACGCAAATAGGCACAGGCTCTATTTTTCCATCAGTCTTTATCAGTCTCTGTTGTGGTGTGGGACTTGAAGGCATGCGTGAAATGAGTTCCCAAGTGGAAGTACTGATATCTATGGTTCGTGAAAGGCCTGAGATCTACGACCCTGTCCATCCACATCATGCAAACAGGGACTTGATTGGAAGGAGATGGAAAGAAATAGAAACAGAAATGGGAGATCCAGGTGAGTGTGTATTATTTCAATGAAGTAAATATCATTCTACTGCAGAAATAAGTCTATTTTTTTCCTAACTTCCGATCAGATCAGATGTTGTATTAGCAGGAGTGTTCCCCAGTTTTGCCTGAAAGTAATCTTTGAAATGGTCTCTGATAGCTAGAGCTGCCCTACCAGCTCGATTTGAGTGACGAAGAGGCTTCCCTCTCGTCGCAGCAGCAATATAATGAATTTCGTCATCATCTTTCTCACATGGGGGATTGTCTGATTCCATCTGAACAAAATTGTGAAGCACACAAGTGCATTTCACAATTGACTCCGCCAACTCAACGGATGTTTCGATGGGTCTTTGCAATACCTCCCATTTCTTGGATAGAATACCGAAAGCACATTCAACTGTTCTGCGCGCTTGTGATAGACGGTAATTGAAGATCATTTGAGAGGCATCCAAGTTTTTGCGAGGATATGGGCGTAGAAGGTTGGTTTTGAGTGGGAATGCCTCATCTCCTACTATCACCAAAGGCATTGGCCCGCCATTGTCATTTGGCAGACTCTGATCGGGAGGGACTGCGAGTCGATTACTGAGGAAGGCCTGACCGAAGGCAGAATCTGCAAACACGCCTCCATCG